GACACTGGTCTCCTGCTGTGAATACAGAATCAGTACTGGTAATACTGGTCTCCCGCTGTGAATACAGAATCAGTACTGGTGACACTGGTCTCCCGCTGTGAATACAGGACCAGTACTGGTCCCACCTGGGTGACACACTACTGCTTCACTGCACCAGTTTAATTAGGAGAAAACGTTGGGGATGCCAGACTGAGCAAGCCAGGGTTAACACCACTTCCTACAAACAGCAGTCGGGATCTTGCTTCAGTGTTTCTGAAGAAGCTTGCCTCCTAGACAGCATCCTGGGGGACCTGTCTGAAGCTTCTAGTCTATAAGGAAGATCGCCCCCTACAGGTCCACTGACTGCACTGATAGCAGCCACCTGTTATGCCTTGGCTATCTCCCATCCCAGTGCTGAGCTGACTCAGCCTTGCTTAGCTTCTGAGATCTGACCACCTCAGGCCACAAGGTGGCAGCTAAGTGAAAGAAGTAGGGAGTAATTCAGGTGTGAGGAAGGCTCTGCTGCCGAAATGTTTTCTACCTGCTTCCTTCCCACCTGGAATTATCCACTACCTATTCTTTTGCAGCCTGTGGGTTGTCAAAGCTCCATGCCCCAGTGTAAATACAATATGAAATATGCCATAGATATTCATAGAGCATATAATGTATAATTCGTTTAAATAAAGGGGTATGAAGGGAAAGTGATATTGGCACCTGCACACAGTGTGGAACATCAAATTTGCATGGAAGGTTTATTCTGCATTTTCCAGCACTCAGCAATTAGAGATTATTACCATGGACCTAATTTTATTAGTGCTTTTCAATGCACCTTCACGCTGCAGTTGTATAAGCAGACTCCCTACATGAAAATATCGGAAGTATTTATTCTACTGACAAGCAGAGAATTGGGGTGGAGTTGTAATGCGTTTCCCAAGGGCTTTGTGATTCATGCACAGAACAGCCTGTTCATAGGCTTCGGACACATGGAAGCTTTGGTTTTTAATCTGGCCCTTCCTTCATGTCTGGCAAAGGCACTTTACAGTTTACACTTCACTTTTAAGTCCACACTCTGTGGAGCAAAACCCCAAAATGTGCAGCTGTCACAGACCAAACACACTTAATCCTGGAGGGGCCTGATGTCTCCTAGATTCTGTTCCACTCACAACCTCACTTACATAGTTGGTCTAATTAGTTAATTAGCTGAATAACTGAATAATTGTAACACTTCTGGCCAGGCTCCACGGCAATTGATGACACTCAAGGCTTCATACTGTAAGTGTGCTTCCTGTGCTACTGCTGCAGGCTACAATCAATCACTTCAGAAGGAAGGTAAGGGGTTATTTCGGCAAGAAAACATGCTGTTAAATATTGATCATATTATATTATGATCAATATGCAGTAATAATGACTGAGTGCCTCACGGGACAGCAAATACCAGTGCAGACTAGGATGGGTTTTTCTGTTTTCTTTTTTTCTTTCTGTTTTAGTGAGTAATGGGTCCAAAAGGAATTGAAGTACGAACCCTCACTGGTGTCTCTTTGTATTCCTTATTCTAGGAGATAAGAGGGGTGTCCTGAGAATATAGACGAAACAGAAGAGATAAGAAATGTGTTCAGGACGCATCTCATATTAACCATGTACAAAATTCAGTGGAGGACTCTGAATGAGGTGTCGTAGATTATAACTTGAGTGTCGTCCCTAAAAGGCACAGCTGAAAAATGCAAAGATAATGCAAGCCAGCAGTTTCAGATGGATCTGCAGCTCCCAGTTAAAAATTATCCCCTCACTTCTTCCACGACGTGCAATGAAATAATCAGTTTTTCTCTGCCAAAAACCCACAAGCCCAACACAATCAAATTCCTCCTTAGTCAGCTTTGGGCACCTGGAAGTGATGGAATACACACAGCAGCAGCTTTTTAAAAAATAATCACATCTGACATGTAGCAGCAGAGGAAGCTGAGACTGGGCTTCAAATTAAAATCCATCTGAAACCCTAGGAAACGTCTGTTCAAGCCAGGAGCAATCTCTGTCCTTGGTCTTGGCATCGATAGCTGTTTTTGTTTCAGCCGCCAGATTTTAAGCCTTTTATATCTTTTCAGTGTCAAAGAGCTAAGCCATTACTGTCCCCTGAAGTCACACTGAGATGCGCATCTGAGCCTCCTGTTACTGCTGGATCCGATCAAATTCATCCGAAAGATAGTGGCTTCTAATTGTAAGCACGAAAACACCAAATAAAATGTAAGAATGCAAGGATCAAGGTGACTCTGGTATCATTCAAACAAAGAGGCTGGAAGGTGAAAAATGGAAAAAACTCACCACACAAGACATCATACGCCTTTCATATCCTCACACAGGCTGCTTTCTGAGAGATCAGTGACGTATTATCGTCTTCATCTTAAGCAGCCAAGCATGCAACATCTTAAGCCCTCATCTGAAGCCAGCGCCTTTGATCTGATGGAAAGGTTACTCCAGGAGGAATCTGATCTTCCAGCATGTTTGGTTGTTTCAGCAGAATGCTACCAGCTTTGCAGAGACAATGTCTGACTAGTGCTCAGATTTCTAAGCTGCGATCCATAAACTGGAGAATATTGCTCAAAACTAATAAACCAGACTAACAAGGGGTGTAACAATTACAGAACACAACACAGGCAACAACCTAAATTTAAGCAGCTTTTTTTACGTCTTGTTTTTTCCCATGGGAACATGTTGCAGAAAGACTTCTAAAACCTCCTCTGATAGCAGCTTTTGCAGAGCTATTCATCAGAAGATAAGTCTCACTGTTTCTTCCGTAAATGATTAAATTGAGTTTTTTTCACCCTAGGCAGTTATACAGTAGCTATTTCAGCTGTGGCTCAAGACAAAGCGCACCTAGGAAGGTGATTTATTTCTTCTTCTTCAGCAGGTACAGAATGATGAGCTCACTGGGTCTGCGTCCTATCTCACTCCGGTCTGAGCAACAGCAGGAATACAACCCTCATCTGCAGTTTTTAACAACGGAAACTGTTGTCATATCGACCGATATGAGAGGGTTTATTAACCATTACAGTCAGCTTAAAATTAAAAAGAGCCCTTGATAATGTTTTGAGTCATATTATAACCCGAAAGTAATTTATACGTGAGAAGAGTTTCTGTGTTGGATCTCTGTGCCTGACATACTGTGCTGTTGGATGTGAAGTCTTTCAGAAGAGATATTAAAACCAAGACTGTGACTACTTGGTCATTAAAGAACACATGGCACTGTCCATAAGACTGGGGGTGTTGACCCCAATGTCCTGACTAAATTCCACTCTGAGCCTCCACAATCCGGCCTACCTAAAGTTCCCCTTTTAATTCTATTGCTGACCTGGTTACCTGTCCACCTGTTCTGCTGTGAAGAATGGCTGCCCCATATACCCCAGCGGGATAAAATGGGACTACTTCTAAAAGTAAATCACTTTTTAAAAGCAAAGAACTAAAGAGCAAAGAATTGTTACCTAAAATCCTATTTAAATCATCCTGGTAATGCTCTGAATTGTTAAAAATAAGGTTTCTGCTTGGCATGGGAGGGATAAAAAATATTTAAAAAAATTGTATCCCACAACTAAACACATTATTAAATTCTTCTTTCGATGTTTGAGAACTGATAGCCCAATGGCGGATTTTACAAAGCCATTTAGCATAATGTATGTTGTCAGTTTTGCATGAAGGTACACTGATACAGTAAACTATAAACTATACAGTTCGCAATACCGTTGGTAAACCAGTTGGAAGATGCTGAACATTCATTCATTCAGCTTTATTGCACCCGTGGAATAAATCGCTACCTTGTTTCTCAATTAAAATTGAAACTGCTAGAGGATATGTCATCTGCATAAGAATGCAGGTCCAAAATTTTGAAATACATTCTGAAATAGGATTTTAATTTTTAAGACTAAATCCAAAGTTCATATGAAATGAGATGTTCATTACTGGTTTGTACTTCAGGATCTTCAGGATGGGACTGACTGAAACCCAGAAAACTGTGTTTCAAGGATGGGATGGAGAAAGGGTGCTGTTTTGCCTCCGGTCAGTGCAGTAAGGAATATAAATTGCTTCAGGACGTCCTAAATGCTAAAATATCCCCTTAGAAACTGAAGTCAGCTGCCGCAGAGTCACACACATTTCTACTCAGCAAGATTTTTGCACACAGAATAAGGTTAAGGCATTACTTCATACTCATACTATTAAACCTCAAAGCAAAACAATCACTTGAAGACGAAGATGAGTTCTGAAGGTCTAACCTGCTGCAAGCACATTGGTCACCATCATGAAACCGGATTGCTTGTGTTTCGGGGGGGAGGGGGGGTTCCTAACCCCCACGGACACAAGGGGCAAATCTCCTACAACACGGAAGTCCGGAATCTCAATAACGCAGAGACGACGGCCTTATAGAAAGCTGCTCTTTCCCCTCCGCCGGGCTGGATGGGAATATTGGACAGCATTCCCGTAGGTTTCGGGGGCTGCTGCCACAAGAAGGATGGCGAACAAAAGATATTTCATCCCAGCAAT